GCATTCTAATGTCACATTAGGTGGGATCATTCCAAAAATTGGTACGTACCGAGCTTTGAAACACAAACGTTCATAAAATCCGGAGAAAGATATGTCGAAATTTCACTCAACAGTGAGGACTACGATTATATGTGCGGTCATGTAGTCGATGGAAGAAATTTGTTACCCGCGACGGGTTATCTTGTACTCGTTTGGGAAACTATCGGTATGATGAAAGGAATAACATTCACAACAATACCGATAATATTCCGAGATGTAAACTTTATTCGCGCTACTCATTTAACGAAAAGTAATGCTGTAAAATTGACAATTGCGATACAGAAAGGTATTTATGATATGACTTACTTTAAAGTAGCATGTTCGTAAAAATGCGTGTAAAATAATTGAATACATAAAAATATTACAGACGGGAAGTTTGAAATAACCGAAGAAGGTAACGTTGTGGTGACAGGTACAGTGCACGAGACATCGATTCCAGAACAGGAAATGTTTCGGACAGATCTATTACCGGAGAATAGCGACGAAGAAGAACACATGACTGCTCGAGATATCTATAAAGAATTGAGACTGCGCGGTTACCAGTACAGCGGCTGGTTTCGTGGATTACATAGCGCATCTATTTCAGGCAGCAAAGGACATATCGTTTGGAAAACAAATTGGGTAACGTTTATGGATACCATGCTACAAATGTATATTATTGGATACGATACCAGGGACTTGTATGTTCCGACGAGTATTCAGAAATTGGTGATCAATCCTGAGCTTCATGCGTCGAAACTGCGGAATAGCGCGACTGGCATGGAAAATTCGACAGATATAGATAAAAGTAAGTGCTTTTGAATCACGTACTTGTTGAGTTATTTTGTTTTGATAAATATCGCATAAGAAAATCTTGTAATATAAAGCGTATTATTTTGTCTTATTACAGAATTACCGATACAAATATACCGAGAACTAGACACGATTATAGCTGGCGGAATAGAGATTCGAGGCCTTAAAGCTACTCAGATCTCTCGCCGGAGATTGGCTCAAGATGTTGTTACCGAAGAACACGTATTTGTTGCTCATCATGATCGCGCTAAAATTTCTTTGAACGAAGCTATTCGGATATCGGCGCAACTCGCGCTAGAAGATCATCAAATCATTAAAATAAAAACCATCGAGCTAGTGGAAGATGTCGATGACGTTGCATTAGAATATCTCTCTTCTTCGTTGCTGGTTGAGGCTTTTGGTGATGTGCCATTAATACAAACAAACATCACTCTATTAACATCGCCGAATCGTTTTAATTCAGCAGATCTACCACAGAACATTACAATCGGAGATTTAAACAAACCATCTGTAGATGACAAAGCCTTAATAGTTGCAGGATTCAACCTTTTGACCAAACAACAAGCTTTGTTAGAACGACTTTTGTCATTTCTGAGAGAAGGTGGTTATCTGTTGTCACGTGAGAAATGCGACGTAATTGATTACACCAAATATTTACAGCAATACGAATTAAATGTTATTCTTGAAAAGCGCACCGACAAAGAAATGATTGTGCTTTTGAAGAAGAAAATTCCAATAGGAAAAAGAATTGTTGTTTACATAAATAATGATAACTTTAATTGGCTGGAAGATTTAAAGCTACTTGTGAGCGGTGAGGAGGATCTCGAAGAAAAAAGTAGGATTATAATTGTTGGAGAGAGAGATTTCGAGTGCGGTTTGTTAGGTTTCGTTAATTGTTTGAGAAAAGAGCCGGGCGGAGAACTTGTTAGGGGTGTGCTTATTCAAGATGAAATGGCGCCTAAGTTTTCTCTTCAGGACCCCCTCTATAAACAACAATTAGAAAAAGATATGATCATTAATGTATTGCGATCTAATAAAAACTGGGGATCATACAGACATTTGCGATTATCACGACCGGAAACCGAACCTGTACCTACCGCTCATGTCTGCCAAACGGTATACCCATATAGGAATCCTTTCAAAATATATCGACATTTTATCAATGTACAATATTAAATATTTTCAAATCGTTTTTTAAATATTTCTATAATATTTCTCTATTTAAAGTTTTGTTCTATGTATGTCATGTGTTATGAAATAGATGTTTTTCTATAGGTCTGTGGTGATCTAAGTACATTTTGTTGGATAGAGAACAGTTTATCTGTCGAATCTCTTCGTGAAAATTTGGTACGTGTGGTTTACTCATCATTAAATTTCAAAGATGTAATGCTCGCGACTGGTAAATTAACATCTAGTCAGGCGATCTCACGAGGACGGTTATTTCAATATATACCCCTTGGATTGGAATACGTAGGATTCGATACCAATGGGCAACGTGTAATGGGAATCCGTGATACCGAGTAAGCAAAATAATGGTTCAAAATATTATTAGGTACGTTACGTAATGTTATAAAGTTGAAACTAAATTAAGATTATTTTTTTTAGTTGTATCGCAAATGTTATTAAGAAAGATACAGATTTTTGTTGGAAGATACCTGATGCGTGGACATTTGAAGCGGCTGCGACGGTCCCGTGCGTTTACAGCACGGTTTACTTAGCCTTATACATATATGGGAAAATGAAAAAAGGCAATAAGATACTTATACACTCTGGTACTGGCGGAATTGGACAAGCAGCTATTCACCTCGCTCTCAAAGAAGGATGTGAGGTGTTTACTACTGTGGGCACGAACGACAAACGGAAATTTATTAAGAAGATGTTTCCGAGCATTCTGAATGAACATATTGGAAATTCGCGAGATACCAGCTTTGAACAAATGATAATGCGAGAAACAAACGGTCACGGCGTCGACATCGTGTTAAATTCATTGTCAGAAGAAAAGTTAATCGCGTCAGTTCGTTGCTTGGCGAAAAACGGTCGTTTTCTGGAGATCGGCAAATTTGATCTCATTTCTAACAATCCACTAGATATGTCCATGTTTCAGAAAGGTATTAGCTTTTATGGGATTCTACTCGATAATATGTGTACCGGCGATCACAAATATAAGTCGTTGCTGTCTAAAATGGTAGCCGATGGTCTTGAAGATGGAACCATTAAACCAATTCAAGTAACAGTTTTTTCAAAAACAGAAATCGAAGCAGCTTTCAGATACATGGCGAGTGGAAAACACATGGGAAAGGTACTCTAGTATTGATTAATAGTAGCATAAAGAATTATTCATAATAGGAGAGACCGAGGCGAAGTCGTCACTATTTTTTCGGTGCCGATTTTTAACAACAAAACAAATAATTTTAGTAAAATTTGGTATACCGTTGTAAAGAGTGAACCCTTGGCTACAAAATTTATACGGACATTTTTTGTCTATGTCGCTTTGTTCAACTGGTATAGAGTAAAAACGACAAAGGTGCAAAAATTGAAATGTCAAAATTGCCGGGGCGGAGTCGTCACTCCATTCTCGAACTAAATTTTAAATAAAAATTCATAATTCCGATAATGAAAAATGATAGGATACATTTTATGAATTATTTTTTAATAGAAAAATGGAAACATTAATTAAAAACACGATGGCGGAAAATAATTACAAGAAAAGCGCACACACTTATGTGCCCTACGCTCGCACGTTTCTCGTCAGCTCTATTCTGTCATCTCTAAGCACACGCAGCACATATTATCCAAGTCTTCGCCAGAATCCGATTACTAGCTGCTGCTTCTTTGACTTTAATTTTCGCCGGAAGCCTTCATGATATGGCTTGGTGACGACTTCGTCCCGGACACAAGTTTCAAGTTTGGTCGCTCATAAAATATTAAAAATCATAAAAAAAAAAAAATTTTACTGGATTTGTGTTCAGCATGCATTACTCTTTATAATCACTTACTTTGAGATTCGGAGACACAATAATATTTAAAATATTACAAATTTTTGACGCGCAAAAAATTTTACTTTTGACCTCCAAAAACATGTTTGTCTCGATAAGAATCACAACATGGCACATAACTTCACTACACTCCGTTGGTCACGTGGGCACCATAAGCCGCGTTTACAGTATTAATATCGAGTTCACACAACATACAGATTTTGAATTGCAGTGACAACTTCGCCCCAGTCTCCCCTAGTCTTAAAAACTTACCTATTTTACATAAAATGTGCATTTTTAACATATAAATATTTTTATAGATAATTATAAATATCCAGGAAACGGATAAACCTTTAGACAAGTCCATTGTCGCATATCGTCGCTATTACTGTCTCAGAAATAAAAGTTATATTATACTAGGAGGTCTTGGTGGATTTGGTTTGGAGTTAACCGACTGGCTGATATTTCGAGGCGCCAGGAACGTCGTGTTGATATCGCGAACTGGAATGAAAAACGGGTACCAACGTATGAAAGTTCGACTATGGAAGTCGTACGGTGTAAATATTCTGATCATCAAGAATATCGATGTCGCTGATTCTAAGGATTGCGAATACATCTTGAAAACTGCCGAAAAAAAAGCACCAGTAGACGCGATATTCAATCTCGGAGTGGTGCTGAGAGACAGCGTCCTGAAGAATCAAACCGCGCAGACTTTCGCGGAGTCCTTCCGATCAAAGGCTCGAGCAACGCAAATATTGGACAAGCTTTCTAGGAAGACCTGTCCTCAACTGCGGCACTTCGTAGTGTTCTCTTCCGTTTCCTGCGGCAAAGGAAACGCTGGACAGACTAATTATGGCATGGCCAACTCCATCATGGAGAGAGTGTGCGAGAAGAGAGCGGAGGAAGGATTACCCGGATTAGCGATTCAGTGGGGGGCTGTGGGTGACGTGGGTCTTGTCGCTGACGTGCAGGAGGACGATAAGGAACTGATTATCGGTGGCACCTTACAGCAAAAGATATCTTGCTGTCTCGACGAGCTCGATAAGTTTTTAATTCAAAGTCGACCGGTTGTAAGCAGCATGGTCGTAGCTGAAAAGAAAGCGGAATCTTCCGGGCTTGACAGTTTGGTAAACACTGTCGCTAATATTTTAGGTATGCTCCAACATAAACTTACTTTTTGCACGTACCTACTTCAAATATATTTTTTAAAATCAGTTTATGAGTAATCATTACGGTACAAATCATAATAATTTTTTATACTATACAGGCATAAAAGACATGAAGGTTGTAAGTCAAAATTCATGTCTGGCCGAACTTGGAATGGACTCCATGATGGTCGTGGAAATTAAGCAAATTTTGGAACGAGAATTCGACATTTTTTTTACTGCGCCAGAGATACGAAATCTCACTTTCGCGAAGCTCAATAGGATGTCCAATGCAAATGTGAGCGACGCTAGTATGCAAGACAAGAAGAAATTCGATACAGTGGAGCTAGACGTTATAAAATTTCTAGTTGGTGTTCTAAAAGACGAAGATTTTATTTCAGAAGCCTGTTTAGATTTCTCGACTAAAAAACCAAAAACTACGACCGAAGTATTCCTTATACCAGGTATCGACGGATGTGCAAGTGTATTTAGTCATTTAATATCAGATATTAAATTTTCAGTAACGATCTTGCATTATAATACAAACAACACCGATGCTATCGATGCTACAAACATTATATCGGAGACGTCTGATCATCTCACAAACGTATGCAATTAGTAATTTCATATTATATTAAAGAATAATTATTTGTTTAAGAAGCATAAAATTTATCGGATACACTCGCTCTTTTTTTCAGTACATATTACCAAAACTGAGAGGTGGGAAAGATTTCGTAATGGTGGGATATTCTTTTGGATCTATAATCGCAATTGAGTTAACCAGAAGGTTGGAGGCTATGAATTTTATAGGCCGACTAGTTCTCATCGACGGCGCTCCTGAACAAATACAAATGATGTACAAACATTTTACATCAAATCCTAATGAAACAGACCTTCAGCTTGTTGTTCTAACCAATATCATGGAAGTTTATTCAGCAGGAAGCAGTAAAAAAGTATTATTTATTTTCTTAATTTTAAGTACCAAAATTAAATATTACAATTTTTTTCTTTCTTATAGGAGTAGTATCAGTATCAATCTTATAGTCTTTTGTTTCAAGTATTTCTCATTTTAAAGTAAAACTTATATTAAAAACAAAATATATAATTTGGTAGATTCTTATGGAATTGAAGAAATGTAAGACCTGGGAAGAAAGATATAATATTTTCGCCGAACAATTCTTAGCTACAAATACGTTACTCTCATCTGCAAATTTAAAGACGCTGTGTACAAGAGTGTATAAAAATGTATCCGCAATTCGGCAATATGATCCCTCTACGTTGCCGCCTATTAGATCTTCCATAATATTGCTAAAATCTGCGTACTCCTCGCATATACCACTTAAAGAAGATTATGGTTTGCAGAAGGTATTTCAAAAAGTTTGATTTAATCTGTATTTAATAAGTTTCAAATTTCAACGAAACTTTTTGTTAATGAAGTACATAATTATTTAAGGTAACTCAAAATCTGGTAAAAGTACATTACATTGAGAGTACTCATGCGACGATCCTGAAAAGCGAGAAAGTGCTAAGTGCAATTAATGGAGAACTTCCAATTTAAAGTATATAATGTCATAACATATACTAGACAACAATATTGTTTAAATTAATTCTGACACTGAGACATCTTACTCTATCTAGAACCCTCTCCTTTGAGAATTCTAGATAGAGTAAAAGATGAGTCTCTCATTGTCAGAATACTTGTAGTTACGGGGATAATATTATTATAATATCAAAAAAAGTATTTATTTCAACAACCTTTGGCAAAAGTATTATTTTTAAGTAACAAATAGATATTAAAAAAATATACATATTTAAATAGATATAGATAATTCGTAATTATTGTACAAAAGTAAATATAATGGCATTTATCTGGACATGGTATACATAAAATATTACATAGTTTATAACTGTATACAATTTTACAAGAATAAATAATTCTGCGGAAACTAAAAATTTAAAATTAATTAATTTTAAAATTAATTAACTTAAAATTAGTCTCCGCGAAATTATTTTTAAAATTAATTTTAAATTTCATTCAATTTTCAGCCCCCCTTCTCAGTCAAATATAGAATTATGCTGTTCAAATATTCTTAGTTACATTAATATATATAACTAACAATAAGAATATATGGACAGCATATATAATTGTAATTTATTAAATATTTCAATTATTTATCAATTTCATCATTATTTAAATATTTATTTTATATTTCAAATATTTCAATTTATTAAGTATTTATGTAAATTATTAAGTAGTTCATTATATCCAATTAAAAAAAAGAAGTTTAATTTCGCGATTGCGGAATTTGATTTTTTATTAAGTGTCATTTAATTTGCAGTATTTTAGGTAATTTTTTAAATATTAATTTATTATGTTTAAGTCCCTATACCTACCTACCCGTATTTCTATTCGTATATTTTCCTACCTATCCGTATTTTTGTTCACTTGTGCCTATACCTACCTATTCGCGAACTTCTACCTATCTGTATAATATTTTTACTTATATATTATACAAATAAGAAGTAAAACCGCGGATACGATGGGTATTTAATCGTACTTAATTGTGTTGGATAAATCTAACGGAATCACCTAATCGCAATTTAAACTTACATTTTGGCCAATATAGACCGTACATATAGATGTGTAATTTTCGTATTTCTTGTGGTCAGATTGAACCTACCTATTTGGGTTGTTCCTGGCCAAATCCATTCTGGCGGTACATCAGCCAGAGAATGAGAAGGAGACGAACTCCTTCGATACCGGCTGCATAATTATCAGGGCCGGTAGATTATAACGTTACGGTTACAAATTATCGATTACAAATCATTACGGTCGTTAACGAAAGCGCGTTTATATAAGAAAAAGATAAATAATCACGTTCATAAATAAAATATTAATTAAATTTAAATTTAACTTAATTTTGCATTTAATTTGTCAACGATACGCGTAATTAACTTTTTCGATCAAGAAATCGAAATTATAGAAAGCAAGAAAGAGTTATATCAAAGAATGCATTATATCTCGATCGCAAATATCTGAATTTAAATAGAATAATTTACACGAACGTACCATTTAAAAATCAATCGATCAATAAATCTTAATCAACGAAGAGGTAAACAATTTCTAGTATAATCTGAGTCGCGAACCGAACCGCAACTGCGAAATAAATCGCGAACATTATTTGATCTCACCTCAAATATCAAGTAAGAAGTAAGACATTCAGAATGAATGACGTGAGATCCAAAAGGGAATAGTTCCATAAGCAAGATATACATGCAATAAGTATCGTAATCAATATAAAGAATTTATCATAGTCTCGCGCAAGTTACATTTGTCTTTATAAATTTTCACAAATATCATATCTATATATATAAAATAGAATGTCTGTATGTATGTATGTATGTATGTATGTATGTATGTATGTATGTATGT